GAAGAGGATGGTCTTCTTTGAGGAGTAGGAAACGGTGGGTTAGTAGACGATTGAGTGATTCGAGGATTTATCTGAGGAAAAGGCATTAGGATAAGCCATATTTTCTAGAAAATTTTCCTTTGACCAAAAATTTTCGGGTATAATCACATGATTTATGTGTAATGAGATTCCATTGAAAATTTTACAAGAATTGCCCTTAGAAAAATCCGTCATTATTGTGTTTATTGTATAATTATAATTCCAACCAAATAATTTAGGGTAAAAGATAAATAAATGAATGAATAAATAAATAAACATTTATTTTTATTCGAATATCATCGCATGCAAGATTTAATGTAGGCAACTGGGTGAGACCTCCAAGCTAACTCTAAGCAAAATGGCAACAGGTAGGATAATATATTAAAATTGCCTTTGTCAAAACATTTGTTATTGCCCCCCGTGATGATATTAGTAACCAAAATGATATTGTATTTGATACTATGTATCAAGGGCGCCTTTTTTTTTTAAAAAAAAAAATAAAAAATAAAAAACAAAAAAAAACAAAGCAAAAACAATAAAAAAAAAAAGAAACACAAATAAAAAAAAAATTGTGCCATATATTATTGAATTCTTCATAAATTAATTTGATCCATTAAATAAAAATAAATTATATATATATATTTTTAATGGTTGTTCTATGATGAAAAATAATTTACTTTTTTTCTCCTTTGATTAAAGTGAAATAGTATCGGCGTAAGGCAAAGTGTTGATATCACCTAATGCAACAGTTGTGGGTTTGCATTGAAGAACTTTTTGTGCCATCTATTGTTTAATTTAAAAAAAAATTTTTCAGCTAAATAGTATTACGAGAGAAGTTCATCAGATAAAATGGTTTCATACATTTTTAACGTCTTCGTCTGTGATATGATCAAATTCGAACAATGCATCTGAGACAGGGATAATTTTGCCAGAATGTAAAACCTTCACAATAATTTTTTTTTTTTAAAAAAAGTGAATAAATGTAGAAATATAAGGAATTCAAGATTAAAATAAAATCAATGCTATAATCATAATGTTACCTGGCCACCATAAAGTTCGGTTTTGGAAGCACGTGTATCATAAGAGACAGCGGTGTGATATTTAACCTTATTTATAGCACGTCGGAAATCTTCTTTTGAAATACCATGTGCGGTATGCTTCAATTGTTCAGCAACAGCTCTGGCAGCCGCATACACGGATGTAGGTTCTCCCGACATATATAAACCAAAAAGTCCAGCATCAGAATATCCAACATTAAATGAACCAATTTGGACATCTTTAAGTCTATTTGCAGTTTGAGCTAAAGGAGTTACTCCATCACCCCATTTTATGTGTGTTTCTCCACTTAAATGAGCACGTAAAACTTGGAGAATAGAGTAATCAGGAGTTCCTGCTGGTGCTCCTTCAAACCCAAGAACAAAATGACTCTCGCCAGTTGCGGCAATCCTAGATTCCCCACCAAAGTATTTAGAAGGAATAGGAGTGGTAGGAACAGCATGATTGACACCCTCAAAGAATCTATCTGTCAGCGACACCAATTCTTTATGGTTTACAGATGTACCAATGACGGTAATGTTGGATGCAGTATAAACCTTATTAGCAAATGCTATAATTTGATCAACATCCTTTACCTTTGTCGTAGCATTTGCAAATAAAGAATTGCCTAAACCATGACGAAAGGCAACTGAATGAGCCGCGTTTAAGGCTAAGACTTCGGGGATAGATTCAGCTGCACCGCTATCAAAACTAACACTCTTTTTTACATAATCGAATTCATATGGCTCGTATTTTGTTTTAAAGATCACATCAGATAACGCTTCCAAGAAATAAGAACTGTATAATTATTGAATCCAAGCACGTTAGAATTTAGGTCTTATTATATATATATATATATAATTACTATGTTCAAAAAACAAATTTTACGTACAGATCTTCACGTAAAAATTCACCGGAAAGAATCAAACTCTCTCTTGTCAAATTTGCCGATAATATACCACCGAGAAACTCTGCTTCACGTGTCAAGCGAAATGCGGTTTTACCCTTAGTGTTCTTTTAATCAATAAGAAATGGTTAATATATTTTTTGATTGCACGAGTGTGTAACGTATACACCAATTAACCGATAGAAGATACATTTTCGAATTTGTAATCGTTTATTCAGAATATATAAGACATAACTAATACAATACACCTTACCTTGAAAGCAAAATTCTTTAAAAAATGAGCTACTCCAACATTATCAGTGGATTCTGCCCGAGAACCAGCCTTAACAAAGAGGGAAACAGAAGAAGCGGGGGCATTGTCTTTTTGTATTATGTTATAATTATAAATTGTTAAAACCTCAAACTATTACCAAAAAAAAAATGTAAACCGAGTATTTACCTTCAACTGAAACAACCGAGACTCCAGTTTTAGACTTTGTGACTATGGGTGAAGCAACAACACTAGCATAGTTACGTCTTAGCAGACTACTAATTGGAGTTACAAATTTACTTGATAACTGACGCGAATGAAGCATAGTGTGGGCAATTTTCTGTTAAAGTGGATTCAAAAGAATAATTAATGTCTCGAAAACTTGGTAGATGAGATGTTGATCAAACACGTGACAATCACCATTTTTTTTTGAAAAACAAGGAACCAATCGTGGATCGACTCATCTGATTAATGCATATACTTATTAGGGGTGACATATAATTGTGACAATTAGCATTTTCTCTCAAAATAATTTGTCCCCAGAATACTTAGTAAATTTAAGAACGGCTGGGATGTGACGCGATGTGACAAATTTACTAACTCCCTTAAACTAATCCTAATTCTACCTTAATCCTAATCCTACTCCATTCCCTAGCTCTAATACTAACCCTAATAATAATATTTAGCAAACAAGAATGTTATAAAATTGATTTGATATAGGCTAAATGTAGTATGTAGGATTTTTTTAAATAAAAAATTCACAGTTTTTTATATATGATAAAAATGGTTAATACTTTTTTCGTATTCAAATTTTCGAGATAAGAGATAATCTTTCGTCGATCTTTGGTAGATTTTTCCACCGACTTTGTTATTACTTCGAATAAACCAGGATGAATTTACAGGTTCCTTTCCCCCATAAAAAAATTGTTTTAATTTTTTTCTTTTTGATGATGATTGTTGTTGCAAATCAAGAAGCAATACTTTTTGCACGTTTATTGAGTCTATCAGAGTCTATCATGATATATTCAGAAAGTCCGAAAGGCCTTTACACGTGTATATATATGTATCAAACTTTCTCAAATAAACTACAACTTTACATTTTATCTCTTTTTTCAGAAAAATCATGATAGTGTCGCTAAATTGTTTAATTCTAGGACAAACTTCTGAAAATATTTTCAATGTCGTTGTTGGCGATTATTTTACCAATAATGATGGTATTAAGATCTATTTTGATGAATTAACTTCAAGGATATTCTCTATCGTAGGATAGAAGTTGAAAGAATAATCAACTTAAATATATGGAAGGTTGAACTTGACCTTAAAAGCCTTAAAGAAAAAATTTATACCGAGGATGACATTAAAAAATGTGGCATGATGATGGAACCTATATTGAGATTTAAAGAATATTTTAATAAAAATAACAAAAAACCTAAGATAAACCTTCTTCATATCTTCGTAGTTCCCACTGGTAAGTATCTCCCTTTTGAACAGGGGAATTTGCAGTTATCTCATATTTTATATATATATTTTTTTTTTATTGATTAGGGAAAAGAAAATTGAATATGTGTGAGTGGAACCGTAAAAAAGGTAAAGTAACATGTGCGTTTATAATATCTTGTAATTTCTAGATCAATCATTTTAACACATAATTATTTCTTAGTACCAGAGACAATTTTAACTAAAGCTACAAAAATCACGGAAGATATAATGAAACTTCCCAACGATCCTAACGTTTATTCGATAATGATGGTAACTTTTCCTACATGGGAAGGAAGGAATTCAGCAATGTTTTAAATAATATTAACGAACTTAAAGAGAACGGTTTTATGGATTGTTTCATTTATGGAACAATTGGATATGGAAAGTCATTTATTCTTGCAACAATTACATGCTTTCTTCTTCGAACTGGAAAGCGTGTAGTATTTCTTCCCGATTGTCGTGTATTAGCCAGTGACCCAAGACGTTACATAAGTTTGCTTTAATACTCGCCTACGCAGATAATAGGGATAAAATAAGCGAAATTTATGCCTGTGAAACAACTGATGATATCATAATGTTCTGTAGATCATCAGAACTGTTATATTTTATTATGGACCAAACAAATGCTTTGGATCTGGATGATAATACTGTAATAGCCGAAAGATTAAAAAGTCATATTATAGAAGCACTTAATCAAATGACCTTGGATCATTATGTTATTAGGAGTTCGTCAGCGAACAACAAAACAGCATTGCATCTTAAGCGAAAGCAGACTAACGAGAAAATGATTACACTTTATGGAGGATTTGATGAGGTAAGTTTATATTAAATGCTCTATGCTTGGATGTTTGTGTATTAATGTAATATTTACTTTAGGATGAGATGACACAATGGTGGAAGAAAAATGAATCCAATTTGCCATCAATGAATGATGAGCAAAAGAAAAGAATTGAATATATTACCGGCAATAATCCATTCTTCTTGAGCTTTCTTCTAGTTCCCAAAGAAGTTTCCCAAGGTTTCGAAAATGCATGGGATAACTTAAATCAACTATTAATATTGAAGATGCAAGAGCCAATGACGAAATTTTCAGAATCTATAGCAAAAGAATCAAAAGAAAGATGGGAATTGTATGTATCTTTAGTTTGCTTTGTGATTATTAAGCTATATGAAAACTGACTTCTCATTTTACACAGTCACGTCAATTTGATGCTATCTTTCCTGACAAATGATTATCCTCCATACGGCTTTGGAGTTGACGATTATGATCATCGGTTCTTCTATATTAAGAATAATAACCGTTGTTATTATATCTGTGGGTTTGTACGAGATTGTATGGCCAATTATCTCTTTGAAAAGGGCAGAATGGAAGTATTCACAAATCCAACTTGGATTTATTGCATAAAGGAATTTAAGAACAACCCATCTGTAAAGGGATTCATTGTGGAGAAATCATGCCTTGCTAGCATCTTTAAGAATGGACTTGTGGCAAATGCGATAAATTTTAAGGTTGATGAATACAAGTTTTTTGGCGATCTAGAACAAATCAATTTTTCTTCAATTGAAGGGTTATGTACAATTTATTTACCATATCTTTGGTACCAAAAGTCGATTGATGGATTATTGGCTCTTAATAGAGATTCTACATTGTATATTGCTCCGATCCAAATTGCTCTTAACAAGAAAATGCATTCAGATTCTGAGGCTACTTTTTTGTTGAAGCTAATGAGAGACGTTTACGGGAAAAAAAAATTGAAATTAATCCACAATATGATGTGGTAGTAACAGAATTTAATAATGTCAACATAAACCTTGGATTTCTTTTATCTATGTAATTTATAGGAAAAGTTATAATAGTAAAGGTCAAAGAAAATACACGATAGATGAAAAATTAAATCAGAAAAGCTGAAAGCTTTTGCTTAATAAAGAACATATTGGTAACAATGTTTATTCATATGTATCATTAAAGTTGCATTGATCTTTAAAGTAGTCCTTAATGAAACAGAAAATAACGCTGAAACTAAGTTTTCCTTTCACATGATTGGTAGAATTCATTGGGTTTTCAAATCAAGTAGTTTTTGTGCCCTGCCTGATCGACGAATGAAATTTCGTGAAGGAAAATATGAGATACAAATTAAATATGAAATACAGCGATACAAAAAAATGGATGCATTCAACTTATTATCGGTATTTGAAGAGTCACTTCGATTGGGTTATACTCGTTGACATCAAATACCTCTATAAGTTCTTTTTTGAAAATGTTAGTGTTAACATGTTGTATGTCAGATTTCTTTCTCGCACGGAGAACGAGAATCGCTACAGGTAGAACCTTCTTTTGCTTTTGATTACTTAAGAAGGTTACCAACAGGAAGCGTAGTGACAATTTGCATGACTACCTTCGACTTGAAACTAGTTAGAAGTTTCTAAAAGAGATTTTTTCTGTATGTAAAGTATTAATTTTGCGAATATATCATGTAAAACAACTCTTCGATTTTATTAATTAAAAGATTAAATGCATTATTACGGTAATTACTTTGATTTGATTTTTATTTTATCCAATCTTCGGGATTGATCACGAATGACGATAATTGCAGGTAATCTTTATGAAAATCACTTGATAAATGATGTACTGCGTATTTTAACGATCTCGAGATTGTTACACCAACAAAGTATATAAAGAACGATTTACTACAAAACAGATTCCTTACACTTTTTTTTTTTTTTTTATCCTTAAAAACCAAAAAAAAAGTTTCTTATTTTCTTTCTTCGTAAATTTCGTATTTAAAGATGGAACGTACTTATATTATGGTTAAGGTAAGAAATTTATCTCTTTTATGTATCCAATCGAATTATTATGAACTACAAATATATATAATTATATATTTGTATAATTCATAGCCCGATGGTGTTGAACGTGGGTTGGTCGGTGAAATTATGAAACGTTTCGAACAAAAGGGTTATCAACTCTCGGCTCTTAAACTTATCTCGGTAAGTATTTTGTAGTAACATTTCAAAAAAAAAAAAAAAAAAAAATTTACGAAAATTTTAACTAAATTATGATCAATCCTCCCTCCACTTTTTTTTTTTTTCTTTTATAGCCAACGAAACAACTTTTGGAAGATCATTATAAAGATTTGAAAGATAAACCATTTTTCCCTTCTCTCATGACATGTAACGTATTTTAATTTAATAAGTTACTAATAACATCTTAGTGATTTTTACATTGGCTGATTTATTTTTTTGATTTTCATATACAGATATGTTATCAGGACCTGTGGTTGGTATGGTTTGGCAAGGAAAAGACGCTGTTAAAACCGGTCGTCGTATTTTAGGTGAAACTAATCCATTGGCTTCTAATCCCGGTACTATCCGTGGTGATTTCTGTATTGATAGTGCGTAAATTATTTTACATTTTCTCTCTTTACTTGATAGTTTGATGAAGAAAATCTAACTTTCTTTCTTCCCCCTTTTTTTTTTTTTAAAAAAAAAAAAAAAAAAAAAAAAAAAAAGTGGGACGTAACCTTTGTCATGGGTATGTATTTTTATATTTTGACCAAGCACAATATCCTCCTTTTTTAACCTCCCCCCTTAAATTGCAGATCTGATGCAGTTGAAACTGCCGAAAGAGAAATAGCATTATGGTTCCCTTCAGGTGTTGTAGATTGGGATCGTAAAAGAGTAAATTCATTGATTTATGAATAAATTTTATTTAAATTAGATGAAGGTATAAGTATACTAATCAGTATAGTTTCACACACACTTGAATTAAATTAAAATAATAAAATTTTCAAAAAGTATATTGCATACTATAACATATCAATCCAGTTGATTTTATTTTGATAATAAAATGTTTACTAAAAAAAAAAAGAAATGTACATAGAATATACATTATTTAACAAAAAAAATAATGATTGGTTTGCAAAGAGAATAATACGATAAATAAACTAAAAGTTAACTAAATCATAAAAGGAATCCCTAAACGAAAAAAAAAAAATATAATAATTACAAAAAAAATGGGGTTGATCACACCAGAAAAGAATTTATAACCCATGTTGTTTTAAAAGAATTGTTTTACAATTATCCTAAGGATATTTTACCTACAACCGAGAGTTTAAAAAATATATATATATAAAAATAGTAAGATGAAGAAAAAGAAACGAATAAAAATTAATTGTCCTAATGTGAATAACCTTAAGAAAAATGTCAATAGTTATTATATAGTTTGTAAAATAAGTAAACGCATGAATAAAACCAAATTTAATTATATAAATATAAATAATATTATTTTGTATGTTGTTCTTATTCATCTTGATCTTTTAAAAATTTTGTGTAATTGTCTCGTGTACATTCCCCACCTTTTCGGGCGTCATAGAGAAACTTGTAACAACTTCCATCCGCGCATACAACTAATCGAAATAACAAAAAAAATTTTTTCTTAATCATCTTGTATACAAAAACAAAAACTATTGTTAAAATCACTAACCGATCACAGAGTTTTTTTCTTGACCAAATCCACAAATGCATCGACAGTCTGCCATAACTTTAAAATGCGCAAAAGACCATTCCGATGAAAAATATTTTGGAAGTATATCTTTCATAAATGAAAGGCTATTATAAAGTAATATATCAATATTAAAATCTTATATATTTTTTCAAATTCAATAAACTAATTTATTTTTTGCTCGCATTTTTTTTTTTTTACCTCGATTGTCGGTTTCCACTTGGTGATGGTGACGTTTTCGGATTGCTACAATAATAAAATAATTAGGAACATGATCCTTACTATAACATTATCGTTCTTTGAAAACTCACTTGATGATTTCTCCATAATACGGTGCTCCATTATTGGGAGATTGGCTTACGCCATTTCCCCAAATTGCGTCCAAATTAAAGATATGTACTGTTCCTTTGTCAGAAGATACACAAAGACGCGTAGAATCTTGGTTAAACGCGATACTAAGAACATAAAATAAAATTAGAAATCAAATGTAACGACAAAAATCTTATCGAAAGTTGTACAAACCTATATATTTCCGCTCGATCAACGCCTCTTCGTAGCTCATTTAATAATTTACCAGATGAAGTGTCAAAAACTCTTATTAATGTACCCTAAATAGATAATACAAAAAAACGATTTAGAAATTTTGAAAAAGGATTATACGAATGAATCTTAATTTTTGAAAAGCAAACCTTTTCGCTGGCACTGGCGCATTTACTTCCATCAGAGTTCAAAGATAAACAACTCAACCTTCCACTATGTGCGGGAATGATACTGACATTTGCCGTCATCACCGTTGTACTCCCACTTGAATTTATTGAATTGGAATTTTTTATCTTTGCGGAATTTGATACACTTGGTCTCCTATCCATGATTGGAAATTGTGCAGCATCATTATGACTTGATGAAAAAGAATTTCTATGATGTGGAAATGAAGAAGTGGTCGATGATGAGTGTGTAGGTAGGGTGTTAGAATTATTACTTGTAACTGCCGTAGTTGCATGGAAGGTATTGAGGTCTACGATTTGAATATGACCCTTTTGTCGACCGGGAAACGCCAATATAGCATGATTTGGTGATGACGAAAGAGCGACCAAACCTATCGCACGTTATAAAAAGATTATAAAATGCGATGATCGTTAAAGTGAAAAAATTTTGTTTTAATAACTAATTCTCTTACCTTTATCGTTATCAATCGTTTCAAAAGTGTGTAATTTCTGCGGATTAGCACTGAAGACATATACAAAAACTTTGTTGGAAAGGATAACAACGATCCTGTTGAAAATTAAATAATAGAGACATGATCCGAATATATTTGATTTTCAGAATTGATTTATTTTCTTTTTTTTTTTACACTAACCTGTCCCTTCTCAACTTAACATTCTTCACTTCGGTTCGAAATTCCAATTCCGCAATTCCTTTGCCTTTCAAATCATCCCATATAATCACTTTGTTTGGTGCGTATTTTGGATTTTTTCCTCCGCCCACTAGTGCAAGATAATTACAACGAAACAACATTTCGACGATCGATATTCCACCGTCGTCAAAATCTAAAATGCAACAAATTGATAAATAAAAAAACGAGAAATTTAATAACGGGACACACAGGATCTCGGTTGCGACCTTATCAACCCAAAATAGTTTTTCTTTAAAAGCTTACCCTTTCGCATTTTTTCTTTTAGAGGATCACAATTATAAATTCTGAACCCACTATCCAACCCAACTGCGAAACAACCAAAGTCTTGATTAAACCCAGCATAAAGTAAGCCAGGGGCGTCCACAGCGGAAGAAGAAGAAGAAGGTTTAGATAAGTTCATTTTTCTTTTGAATTTTTGGGTGGGGGAAAGAAAAACGGTGGTTAAAGTTAAAAACCAATGAATGGTACACGAGTTTTTCGTGCGGAGTAAGTAATGTATGATGAAATTTGAGAGGTTGAAGGAATGGCTAAACATTTATATAACATTTCGGTTACGCAAACACGGTACAACATTCATTTTCCGATTGGTTATAAATCAAGTCGAATCACGGACCCCACTTTTGACACTTTTTTTTTATGACAAAAGATATACACCAAATTACGTTTTGAAAAATACTTGAATACCTAGCTTGATATACCATTATTTTAGTTTATGTGTGATAAATGAACGAAAACGTTTGTAAAATTCTAAAAAGGAAAGTAACAATGGTTAAACATAAAAATTTTTGATTGCTAAATCTTTAAATCTTTAAATTGAAAAAAATTTTTTACTGAACAAATTTTTTCTTTTTATAAATCTCTATGAACCCCAGATTTTTGGTCTGGTGATCGATCGATCAATATTTTTTTTTATACGTAACGCGTAACCAGTTTAACAATTCGACTATTTTTATTATTTTATTGAAAAAATGTTACTTTTTGGAGTTTAGATCATGACGATCATGTGATTGATGTCTGCGCCACGTTGTTTACAGTCCTAACCTCTCTAAATGCCGAGTATGGGGACGACCTGAATTCTAAATGCGCCTTCCTGATGCATTTCTTTCATAACAGATAAGGCAAAGTTCATTCTATGTGCTCTCCTGTGAATAAAACTATAAGTTGGTCAATACTGCGCCATAAGATCATCATTGGACATTATGCGTGTTATAAAGTTAAAACCGATCATCAAGGTACTAATTAATTCAGATTATTTAAATGTTACTTTGAATGATCATATAAATACTCTTAAGCCTTTGAATTCAAGGTTTCGTATTATTAGCAAATAATAATAGCATTTCCTCTCTAAATGCATGATCTTTAGGATTGTGCATTAGGGAGGTTTGATTGTAAAAACTTTCTTCCCTTTTTATAAACTATTTTTAATACATAGATATATAAACATGTCAAAGAACAAACGCAGTATATCAATCATAAATCTTGAAGCCTCCTCTTCTGATTCCGTATCGAGTCGAAGTTCTAAAAAAATAAGGCTTACGCCTTCAAATCACGCACCAACTTGTGACGACTCCGCTTGCAAAGGTTGCGATGTGGGTGAAGTAGAAATTGTTTTCACTACCGATGAAGGTCAGGGAGTTGAACCGTCTCCAAATGACCTTCTTCAGTTGGCTTTAGAAGAATCTTCTAAAGAATCCTCAAGAGAACACGGTATCGCTAAACGTCTATTTGACATGTCACTCGAAGGGTTTGATAAGTTAATATCATTAGAAGAGCAGAAAATAGAAATGGAAACCGTAAAAAGCAAGGAAATAGAAGCGCGTTATCGATCCGCTACTAAGCAAACAAGATATCAATACGCTTTTTGTTGTGTCGCTTTTGGGATTTATTTGCCAATTATAGAACATTTACGTAAAGGAATAGAAATATATAAACAAATAATCATTGAAGATGATGAATATTATGATGCTTGGATAGGACTAGGGAGAGCACGAATTTACCTGGTTCATATTAAAGAATTTCATCTTTTCTCAATTTGAATATATCAACTTATCTTTTATTGTTGTTTTTAGGCGAAAATTGAAAGAGAGATGTTTCAGAATGATCAAAATGATTTATCTGACTCGGAGAATTCAAAGAAAGAACAAAAATCATCTATAGAAATCGAACAGGCTTCTTTTAATTTGGCAATAAATGCATTTGATAAGGTAAGCTATTAAATTTTTTTTTTTTTTTTGTAATAAAAAAAAAAAGATATTTATCGATTCAAACTCGATAGGGTCTTTCTATCCTTAAATCAAAAGATGAGAAGAAATATGTAATCAAATCAATCCTCATAGCTAAAGATCTTCAAGAATATGCATTGTCGATTGATCATCTGAAATTTACCGGTTAATTTAATTTTTTTTCAACTTTGACTATATTATATATTATTATTAACTTATTTCATTTTTATAGCTTATATACAAAGAATATTCACCAAATTAATAAATTATCTTCAGGATATTTATGATTTAGATAACAAAAATTTAGATGAAATTAATTTCGCACAAGGAATACATGGGTGTTGTCTATATTATCTTGCCAAATTAAAAACCGATCATAATGATGACGAAAATGAAGAATCTAAGGTATAAAAGAAATATATATTAAAATTGTTTTAAATATGATTTAAATCAAAACATTTTTTTTAATTTAAATATATTTAAGTTGCTTCTCAATGAAGCGATAGAAAAGCTATCGAAAGCGAACGAAGAGGACAGGTTCACAGAAACTGTTAATATTATTTTTTTTTTTTTTTTTTTTTTTTTTTTTTTTTTTTTTTTTTTTTTTTTTTTTTTTTTTTTTTTTTTTTTTT